TGTTCTTTTTTTCAGGCCAAATTACCCCGAGGTATAGATAAAATTAGGCCACATATAGAAATGATAGACAACGTTCCACTTTTGGTATCTTTGTTCACTGACTGCAATACAACAGTAACTAGAGAAATGTTACATATTATGCAAGATTACGGCGAAGTAGTTTGCGTTCTGGGTTCTGCAGCGAACGCCGAAAATATGCCAATTTTTATGCAAGCTGATGCTGCGTAAGTTTTTTTTTTCTTTTTCAATGAAAACAAATCTTAAAAGAAGGAAAAATTTTCTCTAAAGTTTTTTTTTTATGTTTTTCAAAAAATTTTTTCTATAAATTTTTAATTTACATTCAATTTTGATTGAATTTTTTAAAATTTATTTTCTATAATTTATCTACCAAAAAGTTTTCGGGAATAAAAATTTAATTATTCGGCTTTTACAAATAATAACCAGGTGGTTTGTAACTTAGATTGTAAATTGAATTTGCTTCGAATTTTGACGATGTTAATATTGGACGATATTTGGGACGACAACTTTCTCTCATCGGACAATAAGTTTCTTTAAACGAAAGACGATTTACAGTTAAATTTTCAATTTTTGCACTTGAAACATATGAGCATTTAGATTTTACACGTGGTTTTTGAAATTTTCCGGGATTTTGAAAAGATTCAGTCATTATTGTTTTGGAGTCGATTCGTACTGGATATTGAAGTTTACCTCTCTTTGGTTTCATTGATAATGTATTTACCAAACCTGAATGGAAATATGATTTGAGATAAGTAGTTGTAAAATCGCCACAACCTCCACATTTTAAATGATTTCTGGGAAATATTATTCCAATTGGTTTGTGAAATTCTCCTGTATAGGACAGTTGACTAGTTGTATTGAAATCGATTATTCCAGTTATGTTTTTATTTTCGCTTTTGTTTAATTTAACTTCAAAAGTCTTATTATCCAAGTAGGATTTTTTGTAAGTGGTTTCGGATTCGATGGGAATAGTTGGATGTTTGTAAATTTTGTTTCGATAAGCAGACAGTGTTTTTGGAGGTTGTACATAAAGGCAGCAATTTTTTTCTTCTCTAATCATCTTGAGGCACGAAAAAAAAATTTTACTTTATTATTTATTGGTTTAAATCGTTGAGAAACATTGTAATTTAAAAAAACATTTTTTAACGTCTAGAATAATTCATGTTAATGAAGGTTAATAATTACTGATTTGAATATGTTGCTTATCGGTTAACAATATATTGTTTTTAAAGCTCTTTTGTCATTAAATCAGTATTTTTTTCGATTTCTTGAAAATTAATATTAAAGTCTAATAAAATGTAGTAAAGAAAATATTTTTCAGAAAATATTTTAATATTCTATTTAATTTTATTTTTGATTTATATTGAATTTATATTTATTTTTGTATAAGTAAATTTTTTACAATGTTGTTTAATTTTTTTAGAGTTGCTGTGGAACCATTGTATCCTCAAGTGTGCCAAAGAGTGCCTGTTCTGCTAACGCCAAAAGAAGAACAAGGACCTTCACCTATTGATCTCAGTCGGAGTTTAAATTCAATCTCATGTTCTCTCAGCGTTAGACGAGAAGATCCCATAGCAATATTTCACCTCGTAATGGAGGTAAATTAATTTTTTACAGAATAAACGTACTTATTATTAATTTTAAATTAATTTCTTTTTTTGTTTTTACTTTTAGGCTCGACATTATATGAAATGTCTATGGAACTGTGTGCAATTTTGGCTAGGCTGTGTTGTAACTCTTTCGGCAGTTCAAGCAATCTCTGGCTTTTTGCTCCTGCCGCCTTTGTTTTCAATCGGTCAAGTTTTATGGTTAACGTGTTTAATTATTCCACTTCTTTCTATTTCTATGGTCGCTACTCCAACAGACCCAACAATAATGCAAAGAGCTACAGGAAAAAATCAATGTATCATAAATGGACAGGTAAAATCATTATTATCTACAAAATTTTTTTCTTTTCAAATTTCAATTTTAATTTTTCAAAAATTCTAGTAAAATTCTTTGCTAGAATTCAATTATTTTCATAAATAATCAAATTTGTCGGAAAAACTCAATTATTTTTATAAATAATAAAATTTTTCGTAGGGATTCAATTATTTTCAATACAATTTTAATAAAATTCTTCTCAAAAATTCAATTATTTTTAATATAGTTACAATTTTAATAAAATTTCTCGAAACGATTTAAATATTTTCAAAAATTTTAATAAAATTTTGGGAAGAATACTTACGAGAACTCTAATAAAATTATTTAATTTTCTTTTAATAATTTTTATGAAATTTAATGATAAAATAAAAGTAAGATATTAATTATAATTATTAATTAATTCTTCATAAAATTCAATTACTTTCAAAATTCTCAATTAAAATTATTTTAAAAAACTACATTATTTTAAAAAAATTCTTTTTTTAATTTTAATTCGTGCACAGAATTTTTGATAAAAATTTCGAAAATTTAAATTTTAAATATAAAATCGTATTAAAAGTAATTTAATTTCTGCGAGGAATTTTATTATTTATCAAAATATTTGAATTGATGAGAAAAATTTTATGTAAATTTATGAAAATAATTTAATTCTATCGTGAAATTTTATTTAAATTGTATTGAAAATAATTAAATTTCAGCCAAGAATTTTATTATTTATAAATAATTGAATTCTTATAGTAAGAATTTTAAAATTTATAAAAATAATTTAATTGATTTGAAAAATTTAATTAAAGTTATAATGAATATAATTGAATTTTTACAATTAATTTTATCCAAACTTTTGACTAATAATTGAATTTTTGCGAACAATTTTATTAAAATTTTGAAAAATAACTGATTTTTATCAAGAAATTTTATTAAAATTGTGTTGAAAAGAATTTCATTAAAATTTTTGACATATAATTGAATAATTTACAGAAATTAAAAAAAATTGCATTAGTGAATTTTTTAAAATTTTGAATCTAATTATTATTTTTTGTAATTAAAATGTTTTTCTTCACAGGTTACATTGTTCGTTCTTTGGTGCTACGGTAGTAAATTTTTACCAACGGTGATAACTGTCATTTTATCACAATACATTTCACTAATGACTGTATGTTTATCAAATGAAGTGGAACAATCTAAATGCTTTTACATGTACCCATTACTAAATGCCAGTGAATCCTGGGAAGGATGGAGTCAACTAAAATCAAGTAATTTGATTCTTATCGTGCAACATTTTGCTCTCACGATTACAGTGTTACATTTCGGTAAATACTTTCTTTAATATTTCTCATAATTTAGATGAATTATAATACTTTAATTAATTAATTAATTAACACCTTTTTATAATTTTTATTGATAAACAATTACTTTTATTTCCGTTTAGTAACAATATCCATAAGTTTTGTTCACCGAGAATATCCAATTTGGAGGAAGCAACCCTTCAGCAATTGGATGTGGTTTTTAACCGTTTTTATTGGGTAAGTAAATTTCCAAATTAGATTTTTTTTGAAATTAATTAGAAAATTAATTTTAATTAATTAGAAAATTTAAAAAAATATAGTTTTTTGTTACATTGTAGAATTTTCTTTCTTTCAGTTTATGTGCTCAAGCAGGATTCTCTGGAATGATATTTTACGATTTTTGGATCCAGGAAGAAAGCCAAAGATTAGGAAATTTATTAACAATTGTTCCGCTCGCTTTTTTATCTTCAGTACCTTTAGTATTTCTCATTAATGAATTCGCCAAGTGGCAAGAGATCAAGTAATTCAATAACTTCATAAATTTTTAATCTTAATCATTATTTAATTAATTTACAAATAAAATTTTCGTTTCTATTTCAGAGTGAACGTGAGGTATCAAAAAAGAGCTCGCTTGGAATTTGGCACCAAACTCGGAATGAATTCTCCCTTTTGATTCTCCTCAGAGATTTGTAAAAAAGAAAAAAATAGAAGAAAAGAAGTATTTTTAATTAGACGTCGAAATTGCGTATTTTTTATACTATATAAAAATGAATCTCTTGATGAAATGAGAAAGAAAAATTTATAATCAATTCAAATGATTCCGAGTTCATTGCTCTTTTTGTACTAACATTTGATGCAGTATTGATATTTTTTATCTTTTCAAAATAATTGTTTTTTTTTAACAGAGAAAAATTAATGTCGATTTTTCTTTTTGAAAGATAGTTTACGTTATACATCACAGAATAGTTTAGTTGAATGTTTTAATAATTTTTAATGTTAATGTTTGTCAATGAAACGCACAGTTACTGCCATAAGAATTACGATTATAATATATTTATTTATTTACAAATACTAGTTGTTATTTATTCAATATTTTTGCCAAAAGACTTCGATAATAACGCATTTTCATTGTGGAAAAAGTGTTAAATTTTATCATCTCTAATTATTTTCTTTTACGTATTGAAATTGAAACAATAAACGAAAGTATTTATATTTTTGTATACGATAAATTTTTGCTGTGCAAATTTAAATTTACAAATAATTATTTTATTCGACACAGAACGTTTTCTGTTTTATGAATAATTCAATCAAGATTGTAATGTTATCCGAAAACTAAATTTTTAATCATGTAATTATGTTAATGTCTTAAAAAATTATTAGAAATTTTTGAAATGTCGAAGAATGTTTAATTTTTTTCAAATTGCATTCATCACTTTCTTAAAGAAAAAAGGTATCATTTGCTTGAAATATTTCAGTTAATCAGCGAATATTAATTAATTATAATTTTAAGATTACAATTTTGTGTTTGTAGTGAGAAGACTTCGATTTAATTTTGATGATGAAAATATATTTTTAAATTTTATCAATGGTTTTATATTTATTTGAAAAAACACCCAGTTATAAGTATTTTATTTATTAATAGATAATTATTATTATATTATTTATTTATTTATAAGTATTTTAATTTGCAGCAAAAATTTATTTTTGAAAAAAGCGGGAAATAAGTTTTGAATTTACAAGGTTGGCACTACTTGCAACTGCAGAAAGTGCATCAAGTGCATTAACTGCAGTCAGCTGATTTTGACAACAATGATAACATTAAGAAGTTAGCTGTATACATTTTTCCGAATCTCATTCTTCTGTGTTATCTTTATTAAAAAATGTTAATCATAAGTTTATTTAAGTGTTTTTCTAGTCATCTCTGATATTTGCATAATATATTTTAAATACAAAATGCAAATGTAAAGGATAAATTTGCAAACCTAACCTATAGGCATAATATTTTTTTAACATGTTTTGATACTTTTAATTCGTTTTTCTTTTTTGAAATTTTATCGAAACATGGAAATGGAAATCGTTAAAGAGGAATTAAAGATACCAAGTGAATATCTAAAGTTAACAGATGGAAGAATTTGTGCAACCGTCCACAGAAGTTGGCTCACCAGTTTATCAAGTTTGGGATCTCTCAATTTTATAAAACACGAACGATTTTCCGCTGAGGAAATACCTTCTCTAGAATTATTAGGGACCAATTGGCTACAAATTTATATAAAGGTTTGTGTTTTGTTCTATGAAATACATAGCTACGTTTTGTTAATTTTTTTTTAGTTCGAAAAGAGAATTTGTAATTTTGTATTCCAGGTTTACGAAAAACAAAATAAAAATGCTATTCCTCTACCGAGAGGTAGACCATCCGGAAATTCTAAGGTTCATACTGACCTTACTTTCGCTCAAGTTTTGCACTATGTATCGGATACGAATTATCGAAATTTGTGGAAAGAAGCGTACAAAAAATATTACAGTAACTATACAAATTTTTAATATTATCGAACAATATATATATATAAATTCTATATTAATAATCCTTGTATTCCGGTAATCTATTCGCAGTTCGAAGTTATTTGTTGTTTCCTAACTTTTGAAATAATTTTCCTTTTTAAAGTATTTATCAAAAAATTTGAAAATAATTGAATTCTTTTCAAGAATTTTATCAACATTTTTTTCAATAATTGAATTCTTTCAAAAAAATGTAATTAAAATTGTATTGAAAATAATTGAATTTCTCCGAAACATTTTATTATTTTTATAAAAATAATTATATTCTTTCAAGAAATTTTATTAAAATTGTATTGAAAATAATTGAAATGCTCTAAAAAATATTATTATTTATGAGAATAATGAAATTCTTGCGAAAAATTTTATATTAAGATAATAGACAAGTTTTCTTTCTTTGGAAAAATACAGGTCCTTGGACGAATTTCGATCAAAGAGAGCAATTGAACATAAATTCAAATACAACGGATGCACAAGTTATGCAAGAGATATTAACTCGAATGTACGGTTGTACGATAGTTCAAATTGACAAAGGTAAAATTGTGTCGATAAAGCCCGGCTTGGAAACTCAATCGCACTGTAATTTATTACCTGTGCTATTTGCAATTGAAACTTCTTCCGCCTTTTTGACGTTACATGAGCAAACGGCACAATATTCTCTTCGCGAGTGAGTGCCTTCTACTTTTTATTCGTTATTTTGAAAATTTATTTACTATGTTATTTATTTTTTTTTTAATTATCTAATTATCTGCAATTTTCTTTTTTTTTTAAAAATAAAAGAAAAGACGATGTAACTAAAAATCTCGAAAACCGCATTTTAGATGTGTTACCTACAGTCCTGCAGCATTATCCACGTACTACGCAAAGCCTCTTTTTCTCGTTTATCAGCTGCTTCGCTTTTCTAGAGATCTGCACGACCTGGGCCTAGTCCTGGGTGAAATCACGCTTAGCGACATATTGCTTATGGATAATCTAACCATTCAGGTACTAAATTTAAAAATTCCAATTATTTTCCTTGACATTTAATTTTCTCTAAACGATTTCATTTGACAATTGCTTCTAAAATATCGTAAACTAATATCAAAGGAATAAAATGATTTTCTTTAAAATACCAAATGTACGGAAGAAAATATTCGAAAATCAACTCTAAATTTTGTCTTATTAACAAAATTTTTTCTCTCCAGGTTTTGCCAAAGTTGAGCGACAATATTTACCTGTGGCCCGATTCTAGTCCGGTGAATACAACAGTGACGAGGAGCAAAAGTTTTTCAAAGTACGAATTGACCAAAGATTGTAAAACAAATTTCGGAGAAGCAGGATCTTCCGACTTTGGTGCTAATGAAAGTATTGAAAAGCTCTGCGAACTTTGGATTCACGGTGTTATCAGTAATTTCGATTATCTCACTTTTTTGAATAATTTAGCCGGAAGAAGGTATGGCGATCCTAGTTGTCATCATGTGATGCCCTGGGTGACGGACTTTTCATCGAGATACGGAGGAAATTGGAGGGATTTGACAAAATCCAAATTTAGATTAAATAAGGGAGATAGACAATTGGATCTGACTTTTGATTCCGAGTCTTCGGAAGTAAGAGCAATTTAACTAAAATAATTTAAATTTAAGTAAACCTAATTAGGATTTAACTTATAATTTACATATTTATAAATTAGAGTTAAATATTATAGTTAAAGATTATTTGACTAATTTATAAATTATATTTTTGTTTGTGACGTACAGGTTGGACATCATGTATCCGATGTTTTGTCCGAGATTACTTATTACGTTTATCTTTCGAGAAGATATTCGAGATCGGTTTTGTGTAAACATGTAAGACCTCTTTGGGTTCCTGGAGAGTATCCTGTTTCTATACAAAGAATGCATGATTGGAGTCCAGATGAGTGTATTCCGCAATTTTTCAAAGATCCAAATGTCTTTAAAGTGAGTTACAAAATCTCGAAATTATTTCAATTGCCTAAATTTTTAATTTCTTTTCTCTTTTAATTTTATTTTATCTAAACGCGATGTTCCATTTAATATTAATTCAAATAACAAAACTCAAAAGTTTTGATAAAATATTTTATGAATAATAAAATTCTGCAAAGAATTCAATTACTTAAAAAAAAATTGTAATAAAATCCAATAATAAAATTTTTCGAATGAATTCAATTTTTTTCAAAAATTTTAATAAAATCTTCTAAGGAATTCAATTATTTGTAAATTTCTTTGAGAAAAGTCTTTGTTAAATTTTGATAAAAGTCTTCTTAAGAATTCAAGATTATACAACGATTATTAATATAAACTAGCCAAATTATCCGCGCGCAAGCGCGCGGGAATGTTCTATTGCAATGTTTATTGTAAACAATTTCAAGTCATTTTAATTTATGTAATTTTTAAAGAAATACTTATTATAACACATAACTAAAAAACTAATAATTAGAATTAAATTTTCAAAGTATATTATATTTTTAAACTTTAAAGTACATAAAAAAAAATTTAACAAATTTTGATACTAATTTCAAATTTTACATCAGATTTTCAAAATTGAAAACTTCTTGTACGAGGTAAATTGAATTTCTCAAAAATTGATATTTAATACCTAAATTAAAAATAATCTTCAACTTTCTGAACAAAGAATATAAATAATATTTTTTTTTAGAGAATTTTTACTACCTTAAATTCGCTAATTTTCAAAAAAATTTCGTAAAAATCAATTATTTAACAAAATTTTATGCAATTTATTTTTCACAATAATTTAATTACTGTCACTAATAATAAAATTTTTCATGAAAAGTCAATTTTTAAAAAAAAATTTTCATTAAATTCTAAGCAAGAATTTAATTATTTTCATTACTATTTTAAATTAATAATCGAAAAATTCAGTTATTTTCACAAATAAAGTTTTTACACAAGAATTGAATTATTTAAAATAATAAAATTTTCATGATATTTATTATATTTCGAAAAAAATAATTATTTAAAACAATGTTTATAAAATTCTAATGAAGAATTCACTTACTTTCAAAAATAATAAAATTTTTACAAAAATTCAATTCTTTTTAAATATTTTAATAAACTTTTCTGCAATAATTCAATTATTTTCAAAAATAATAAAATTCTTCTCTGTAATTCAATTATTTTTGAGAATAATAATAAAATTCTATTCAAATTAAAAACCATTCAATTATTTTCATAAGTAATAAAATTCATAGCAGGATTTCAATTATTTTTAATACAATTTTACAGGAATTGCTCAAAAATTTTAATTATTCTTAAAAACTTAATTTCAATTCCTCGAAAAAATAAATTATTTTATAAAATGTTTTTTTTAAATTCTATAGAAGAATTGAATAATTATTTTAAAAAATTTAATAAAATTGTTCGAAATAAATTAATTGTTTTAAATACGATTTTAATTAAATTTTTTTGAAATAATTCAATTTTTTCAATTTTATTAAGATTTTTCTAAGAATTAAATTATTTACACGAATAATTTTTCGAAAGAAAAATTATTAAAGATTATTAAAGATAAATAAAAAAATTACCCCCGAAAATTCAATTATTTTGAGGTATTTTAATAAATTTTTTTTCAAAATTCAATTATTTTCATAAATAACAATATTCGAGTCGAGACAATTTAATAAGTAAAGTATTTTCCAAAAGCAAAAAAATAATGAAGCTAAATCCCACAAAAGAGAGGAAAAATGTTGAATTTTAAGAAAATCAGATTTTTGAATTTTTTCGAATTTCTGATAATTTTAGATTTTTTACCAAAGAGTCGAGACAATTTAATAAGTAAAGTATTTTCCAAAAGCAAAAAAATAATGAAGCTTTATCCCATAAAAGAGAAGAAAAAATGTTAAATTTTAAGAAAATCGGATTTTTAAATTTTTTCGAATTTTTGATCATTTTAGATTTTTTACCAAAGAGTCGAGACAATTTAATAAGTAAAGTATTTTCCAAGAGCACAAAAATAATGAAGCTAAATCCCATAAAAGAGAGGAAAAAATGTTGAATTTTAAGAAAATCGGATTATTAAATTTTTTCGAATTTTTGATAATTTTAGATTTTTTACCAAAGAGTCGAGACAATTTAATAAGTAAAGTATTTTCCAAAAGCACAAAAATAATGAAGCTAAATCCCATAAAAGAGAGGAAAAATGTTAAATTTTAAGAAAATCAGATTTTTGAATTTTTTCGAATTTTTGATAATTTTAGATTTTTTACCAAAGATTCGAGACAATTTAATAAGTAAAAAATTTTCCAAAAGCACAAAAATAATGAAGCTAAATACCATAAAAGAAAAAAAAAAATGTTGAATTTTAAGAAAATAGGATTTTTGAATTTTTCCAAATTTTTGATCATTTTAGATTTTTTACCAAAGAGTCAAGACTATTAATTAAGTAAAGTATTTTCCAAAAGCACAAAAATAATGAAGCTAAATCCCATAAAAGAGAGGAAAAATGTTGAATTTTAAGAAAATCAGATTTTTGAATTTTTTCGAATTTCTGATAATTTTAGATTTTTTACCAAAGAGTCGAGACAATTTAATAAGTAAAGTATTTTCCAAAAGCACAAAAATAATGAAGCTAAATCCCATAAAAGAGAAGAAAAAATGTTGAATTTTAAGAAAATCGGATTTTTGAATTTTTGGTAATTTTAGATTTTTTACCAAAGAGTCGAGACAATTTAATAAGTAAAGTATTTTCCAAGAGCACAAAAATAATGAAGCTAAATCCCATAAAAGAGAGGAAAAAATGTTGAATTTTAAGAAAATCGGATTTTTGAATTTTTTCGAATTTTTGATAATTTTAGATTTTTTACCAAAGAGTCGAGACAATTTAATAAGTAAAGCATTTTTTAAAAGCACAAAAATAATGAAGCTAAATCCCATAAAAGAGAAGAACAAATGTTGAATTTTAAGAAAATCGGATTTTTGAATTTTTTCGAATTTTTGATAATTTTAGATTTTTTACCAAAGAGTCGAGACAATTAAATAAGAAAAGTATTTTCCAAGAGCACAAAAATAATTAAGCTTATTCCCATAAAAGAGAAGAAAAAATCTTAAATTTTAAGAAATTCGGATTTTTGAATTTTTTCGAATTTTTGGTAATTTAAGATTTTTTACCAAAGAGTCGAGACAATTTAATAAGTAAAGTATTTTCCAAAAGCACAAAAATAATGTAGCTAAATCCCATAAAAGAGAAGAAAAAATGTTGAATTTTAAGAAAATCGGTTTTTGAATTTTTTCGAATTTTTGATAATTTTAGATTTTTTACCAAAGAGTCGAGACAATTTAATGAGTAAATTATTTTCCAAAAGCACAAAAATAATTAAGCTAAATCCCATAAAAGAGAGGAAAAAATGTTAAATTTTAAGAAAATCGGATTTTTGAATTTTATCGAATTTTTGATAATTTTAGGTTTTTTACCAAAGAGTCGAGACTATTAAATAAGTAAAGTATTTTCCAAAAGCACAAAAATAATGAAGCTTATTCCTATAAAAGAGAAGAAAAAATCTTAAATTTTAAGAAAATTGGATTTTTGAATTTTTTCGAATTTTTGATAATTTTAGATTTTTTACCAAAGAGTCGAGACTATTAAATAAGTAAAAAATTTTCCAAAAGCACAAAAATAATGAAGCTAAATACCATAAAAGAAAAAAAAAAATGTTGAATTTTAAGAAAATAGGATTTTTGAATTTTTTCGAATTTTTGATCATTTTAGATTTTTTACCAAAGAGTCAAGACTATTAATTAAGTAAAGTATTTTCCAAAAGCACAAAAATAATGAAGCTAAATCCCATAAAAGAGAGGAAAAATGTTGAATTTTAAGAAAATCAGATTTTTGAATTTTTTCGAATTTCTGATAATTTTAGATTTTTTACCAAAGAGTCGAGACAATTTAATAAGTAAAGTATTTTCCAAGAGCACAAAAATAATGAAGCTAAATCTTATAAAAGAGAGGAAAAAATGTTGAATTTTAAGAAAATCGGATTTTTGAATTTTTTCGAATTTTTGATAATTTTAGATTTTTTACCAAAGAGTCGAGACAATTTAATAAGTAAAGTATTTTCCAAAAGCACAAAAATAATGAAGCTAAATCCCATAAAAGAGAAGAAAAAATGTTGAATTTTAAGAAAATCGGATTTTTGAATTTTTGGTAATTTTAGATTTTTTACCAAAGAGTCGAGACAATTTAATAAGTAAAGTATTTTCCAAGAGCACAAAAATAATGAAGCTAAATCCCATAAAAGAGAGGAAAAAATGTTGAATTTTAAGAAAATCGGATTTTTGAATTTTTTCGAATTTTTGATAATTTTAGATTTTTTACCAAAGAGTCGAGACAATTTAATAAGTAAAGCATTTTTTAAAAGCACAAAAATAATGAAGCTAAATCCCATAAAAGAGAAGAACAAATGTTGAATTTTAAGAAAATCGGATTTTTGAATTTTTTCGAATTTTTGATAATTTTAGATTTTTTACCAAAGAGTCGAGACAATTAAATAAGAAAAGTATTTTCCAAGAGCACAAAAATAATTAAGCTTATTCCCATAAAAGAGAAGAAAAAATCTTAAATTTTAAGAAATTCGGATTTTTGAATTTTTTCGAATTTTTGGTAATTTAAGATTTTTTACCAAAGAGTCGAGACAATTTAATAAGTAAAGTATTTTCCAAAAGCACAAAAATAATGTAGCTAAATCCCATAAAAGAGAAGAAAAAATGTTGAATTTTAAGAAAATCGGTTTTTGAATTTTTTCGAATTTTTGATAATTTTAGATTTTTTACCAAAGAGTCGAGACAATTTAATGAGTAAATTATTTTCCAAAAGCACAAAAATAATTAAGCTAAATCCCATAAAAGAGAGGAAAAAATGTTGAATTTTAAGAAAATCGGATTTTTGAATTTTATCGAATTTTTGATAATTTTAGGTTTTTTACCAAAGAGTCGAGACTATTAAATAAGTAAAGTATTTTCCAAAAGCACAAAAATAATGAAGCTTATTCCTATAAAAGAGAAGAAAAAATCTTAAATTTTAAGAAAATTGGATTTTTGAATTTTTTCGAATTTTTGATAATTTTAGATTTTTTACCAAAGAGTCGAGACTATTAAATAAGTAAAGTATTTTCCAAAAGCACAAAAATAATGAAGCTTATTCCCATAAAAGAGAAGAAAAAATCTTAAATTTTAAGAAAATCGGATTTTTGAATTTTTTCGAATTTTTGGTAATTTTAGATTTTTTACCAAAGAGTCGAGACAATTTAATAATAAAGTATTTTCCAAAAGCACAAAAATAATTAAGCTGAATCCCATAAAAGAGAGGAAAAAATGTTGAATTTTAAGAAAATCGGATTTTTGAATTTTTTCGAATTTTTGATAATTTTAGAGTTTTTACCAAAGAGTTGAGACAATTTAATAAGTAAGAATTTTCCACTTAAAAAAGTTTGACATTAAAAAATATATAAAAAATGCCAATACTTAACCCACAAAATTTAATTTTCAAAACAAACAAATGAATGCAGATAATTTGCTAACGGAAAGGAAACTTACGATTATTATAATGTACTAGCCAAATTATCCGCGCGCAAGCGCGCGGGAATGTTGTATTACACTGTTTATTGTAAACAATTTCAAGTCATTTTAATTTAAGTAATTTTTAAAGAAATACTTATTATGACACATAACTGAAAAACTAATTAGAATTAAATTTTTAAATTATATTATATTTCTAAACTTTAAAGTACATAAAAAAACTTTAACAAATTTTGATACTAATTTTTTTTCACAAGAATTCAATTATTTTAAATAATAAAATTTTCATAATATTTATTATATTTCGAAAAAATAATTATTTAAAACAATGTTTATAAAATTCTACTAAAGAATTCACCTACTTTCAAAAATAATAAAATTTTTTACAGAAATCCAATACTTTTTAAATATTTTAATAAGCTTTTCCACAATAATTCAATTATTTTCAAAAATAATAAATTTCTTCTCTGTAATTCAATTATTTTTGAGAATTATAATAAAATTCTATTCAAATTAAAAACTATTCAATTATTTTTATAAATAATAAAATTTATAGCAGGATTTCAATTATTTTTAATACAATTGAATTGCTCAAAAATTTAATTATTCTTAAAAACTTAATTTCAATTCCTCGAAAAAAATAAATTATTTAAAAAAATGTTTTTTTTAAATTCTATGGAAGAATTGAATAATTATTTTTAAAAATTTAATAAAATTGTTCGAATGAAATTAATTGTTTTAAATACAATTTTAATTAAATTTTTTTGAAATAATTCAATTTTTAAAAATTTTAATAACATTTTTTCTAATAATTCAATTATTTACACAAATAATTTTTCGAAAGAATTCAATTATTAAAGATAAATAAAAAAATTACTCCCGAAAATTCAATTATTTTGAGGTATTTTAATAAAATTTTTTTCAAAATTCAATTATTTTCATAAAGAACAATACTATTCATCACAATAATTCAATTATTTTTAAAAATAATAAATTTCTTCTTGAAAATTCCATTATTTTAAAAAGTTCTAGTAAATCGTTTGCAAGAATTCAATTATTTTCATAAATAATAAAATGTTTTTTAGAAATTTAATTATTTTCAACAAAATTTAATCATATAAATTTGTCCTGAAAACATTGAAAATTTTTAAGGTCCTGAAAACATTCTAAGTTAAAAAAATTTAATAAAATTTCCTACAGACATTCAATTATTGACAAATTTTTTAATAGAATTCTTTGTAAAATTTAATTATCTTTAAACAATTTTCGCAATTCAATGATTTTCAATATCTACTATTTTCATAAAATTTCTAAATAGAATTCAATTATTTAAAAAATGGTTTGTAAAAATCCAATTCTTTTCATGAATAATAAAAATTTTCATCAATTCAATTATTTAAATTAGAATTTGCATAAAATTATTTGAAAGAAATGACTTATTTAAAAATTTTTATAAAATTCTTCGCAAGAATTAAATTATTTTAAATTCTTTCATGAATAATAAAATTCGTAGCAGAAATTCAATTTATAAGCAGGATAAGAAAAAAGTAAATATTTTTGATGAAAATTAGGAAAAAGTTAGGAAAATAAAAAATATGGAATTTTTGTCAATTCTGTGAAGTGAATAAAACGAGCTTTTTTTCTTTTTTTTTTGACATTAAAAAAAATGAAAATAACCCACAAAAATTAATATTCAAAACAAACAAATGAATGCAGATAATTTGATAACGGAAAGGAAACTTACGATTATTATAATGTATTTTCTATTTTACAGTCAATTCATGAGGATTTACCAGATTTAGGTATTCCTGCTTGGGCAACATCTCCCGAAGATTTTGTGGAAAAACATCGAGAAGCTCTGGAGAGTTTATACGTTTCAGAAAGATTACATCACTGGATTGATTTGACTTTTGGATACAAGTGAGTTACGTTTTTTTTTACTTTTTTTTTGTTAAAAACTGTTCTTGAAATACTAAAAAGTAAGAAAAGACTAAATTTTATTTCAAAATTTAAATGAATCTTTTTATAATTCGCAGACTTTCCGGCTCAGCAGCAATAAAGTCTAAAAATGTTTGTTTACAATTAGTAGATAATCACACAAGTTTAACGAATTCTGGTGTTGTTCAATTATTCACGCAGCCTCATCCTCAAAAAATTGTTCCGTCTCCATATTGGAGTAAAACTCCGCCCAGACTGCAAGTCACAAATCCAAATGGAAAAACTGGTTCAAGTAAGTTTTTAATAAGAAAATGTAATTAAATTAATTCAATAATTAATATAATTAAATTGTTATATACATAAAGAAAATAAATAACAAATTTTATACTACGTATTTTACGATTTGGGGAAAAAATACAACACAGTTTTTTTAATATAAAAATACTAGACTTTAAAAAAACTTAGGTGATATTTAGTATAATTGTATCAAATATCAAAAATCGAGAATATTAATTAAAGATAAATAATTTTTCCGTAGAATCTTCTGGCGAGAAAGTGAGCGAAGATGAGGATCACAGTTCCGGAATCGAAGAGGAAGAAATCCAGGTTACGGCTTCAAACACCACGAGATCTTCTCCTTTGGCACTGAGTCGTTTACTCAGTAGATCTCGTGGATCTTTACTTTCAACCGAAGACGCCTCTAAACTTGATAAAAATATTCCTCAAACGATATTTTTGCCCAAAGATTATAATCCTATTTCTGCACTCATTCAAGTCGAGACCAGACATTCCTTTCTCAACAAAGTCAGTCAAAAAATATATTCGCCAAAAATGACGACTTCGGATGGAAGTACAAATTACAAACAGGTTTTTATCTTCATTACAATAATTAATAAAGAATAAGAAAACAAGAATCAATAAAGAATATTAAAACAAAAATCAATAACAAATAATAAAATTAATTAAGTATTGAAGTCAACGAGTTGATAGTTGACTTCAATACTTAATTAATTTGAAAACCGAGTGATAAAATCGTTATTATTATTATTATTATTAAATAATAAAATTTTTTTTTTAAAATAGGTAGTTGCGTGTAGAAGAATAAAAGAACAACAAATTCTCGGTTGTCTAATTGTCGAAATATTTATGTCGGGAAAATTCCGAGCAACATGGAATATGGAGAAGATTTCCTTTGAAAATCGTCTAACAATGTGTTTGAATGCTGTGAAATCATCGCCAGAATCATTGCCGAGATGTGTGAAAAATACAGTGGCTCTGTTACTACAAGTAGATGTTATACCAAAGACTTACAATACTGATTGCATTGAACTTAATGCTCGACCTGATTTCAGTGAGAATTCATTTCGCTATCCAACTGTAACGCACATGGGACTTCCGCCACCGTCCGCTCATCAATTTCTCCAGCCCGTTCTTTCCGGTGGTCTCTTTCCGTCATCAAAATATTTCCAACATCTCTTCAATGTCGTTGAAATGATTCAAGAATACAATCTTCTAGTGAGAAAATTGAATTTCGTCACTTACAGAAGTGACGACAGTGAATCAATGAACAAAACGAGAATTAGATATCTTTGTAAAATAAGTGAATGTAAAGTAAAGGCATTGGCGAGGGAATTAGAACGATTGTTGACAAATACGGGAATTGCGGCGGAGGCGAATTTGCAATTGATTGTCCCGCATATTAAGCAAATTATGGAGGAACCGTACAGTGCGGTTCTTGCTGCTTGGTACCTTTTCGATCCCATTACCAGGTAATTAATTAAATTTTTAATTATATTAATTTATTTTATTTTATTCATTTATTTAATTTTTTCGTTTGGAAAAAATATCATTCAGTACTAAATTGATAATAAATTTGCGTATTTTAGAGCTTTGGGTCCCAAGGAAACAGCGGAAATATTTTTAATTCCAATAATCAGGTTGTACGAAAATGGATCTGTTTTGGATACTTTAAGTACGACTGACATTCTTCCAACGGGATTATTAGCGAAGTTTAAAACAATGCGCCTCTATCATCGAAGTTTTCTTTTGAAATTGATGGTCAGACTGGGACTTCGTAGATTTTTAGATAATTTTATTACACCTTTAGTAGAAGCTGTGGGAGGCTATCGAGATCATTTAATGGGATCTTCTATCTCCAATATTCACAGATCAGGAAATCTAAAGTAAGTAAATTTTTTAATCAGAGTCATTACAGTTCAGGGGAAGCAGGAAATTCAGGGAAAAATCAGGGAATTTATCAAAATAAGGGAAAAAGTATTAAATTTCAAGAATTGATAAAAAAAATTCACGTTTCTTGGACAATTATTTAAAAAAGAAAAATTTTAATAAAATTCTTCGAAAAAATTCAATTATTTCCAAAGATTTTGATACATTCTTTATGAGAATTCAATTATTTTTAATATCATTTTAATTGAATTCCTTAAAAAAATTCAATTATTTTCAAATATTTTAATAAAATTCTTCGGAACAATTCAATTATTTTTTTAATTTTCAACAATTCAATTAATAAAATTCTTCGTAAGAATTTAATTATTTTCAAAAGTTTTGATAAAATTCTTAATAAGAATTCAATTATTTTCTAAAATTTTAGTAAAATTCTTTATAATAAGAATTCAATTATTTTTCATACAATTTTAATTAAATTCCTCAAAGAAATTCAATTAATTTTTATACAATTTTAATTCAAAAATCTCGAAAGAATTCAATTATTTTCAAATATTTTATTGAAATTCTTCAAAACAATTCAATTATTTTTTTATGTAATTTTCAACAATTCAATTAATAAAATTCTTCGCAAAAATTCAATAATTTTCAAAAGTTTTGATAAAATTCTTTATAAAAATTCAATTCAAAATAGGTATTCTATACAATTTTAATTAAATTCTTTCTTCTCAAAAATTCAATTATTTTCTAAAATTTTGATAAAATTCTTTATAAGAATTTAATTATTTCTCATACAATTGTAATTAAATTTCTCGAAAGAATTTAATTATTTTTAAAAGTTTTGATGAAATTTTTATAAGAATTCAATCATTTTCAATAAATTTATAATTAAATTTCTCGAAAGAATTCAATTACTTTCAAAAATTTTTAATAAAATTCTTCGCAAGTAGGTATTTAATTATTTTCATAAATTATAATCATTTTTTTAGGGATCTAATTACTACCAAAACAAGTTTAATAAAGTTTCTCGATAGAATTTAATTATTTTTAAAAAATTTTTAATAAAGTTTCTCTATAAAATTCAATTATTTTCAAAAACTTTGATTAAACTCTTTATAAGAATTTAATTTTTTCAGTTTCGAAATTATAAAATCTTCAAAAATTTTAACATTGTTTTTAACAAAAATGTTTTGTATTAAAATTAAAAATTAATTCACTTATTAACGGTAAATTATGTAAAATAGAATAATTTCCAAATATTTTTTGTAAAAAATAGTATTATTTATTTTTAATTATAAAGACGAATGAAAAGAATTATCAAATTATTGCATTAAAAATATTCATTGTTTGTTTATTCGCAGAACATGTGATTTGAGCGGCAGTTGTGGAGATGGAGACGCAATTTTGTCTCCTTTAGATGAAGATTTATCAGTGGAGTCTGAAACCAATATAATTGGCAGTTGTACCAGTGGAAGTCACATGAGTAGTTCTGCAAATGATGAAGGTTTTTATACTATTTAGAATAATATTTATATTTTTTTGTTATTATTTCTTTTAATATTTTTTTTCTTTCTATTTGGTTTGGTTTCGATAAGTTATTTTGAAAAGCTTCACTTAATTTTCGTTTCTTCACAATTTCGCAGAAGTATTTACAATGGATGCCGAAGATCCTCTCTCACCGTCCGTCAGCAATGTTTCCAATTACAATCCCGATTTTACACTAGAACTCAATTTGAATCTCAATGACGATTTCAGCGATGACACAATAAAACGTTCTCCATTGAGTACAGTTCAATCGCCCACTATTCCAATACCAAAGCGATTGGATAACAGTGCAAGCAGATCTGTGATAGATTTCAACAGCATCAGCTGTAATGTTGGCAGTAAAACTTCCAGTGAGGATGTTCCACTTGGTAGTTCGTGTACAACGAGTATTCCAGAGGAAGCTTTCGCCAGTAACACTCTTCCCGTGGAGTTTGAAAGTTGTCAAAATTCAAGAACGCAAGAGGAAGTTGGGGAAAAATTGCGAAACGACAAGGAGGATGTGGAGCAAGTGGAGCACAGTCGACTTTTTCCTGTTGAGTGTACAGTTTCGGAGATGAGCACGGAATCTGTTATTTGGTTATCTCATCGTTTGGGACCTGTTTTGACAGCTAGATATTTATCGAGGAATCTTTTGAGAATGCTCACTCTTTGCTATGCTGGGAGAGAGAATCTCTCGCCGACAATTGTGGAGGATAGTGTCAGTGCTGATGATGGGGATTGGACAACTGTTTCGGGTGATGTGAATGCTGCAAAAATTTTAGAGTGTCTTTCTGCAATCGTCGGTTTGTTAAGATTCAACTTTTTTTTAAAAAGGGTCCTTGAATTTGGAGTCTACGTTCGGTGATGAAAATTATTTTTCCGGTGTTTTAGTGCTGGAAATAACACTAATTTAAACATTTAATAGTTTAAATTAAAAATCTTTGAATAAATTGTCCAATTTTTTTAATTTTGTAAAAACAAATCTTCTTTTTTGATGCTTAGCGTTGACACTAAATTGAAAGACCTTTTAAATATTCATTTTATTCTCATTCTTTAAATTTTAATCCAAATTCTCTGAAATTTTTAGGATTGTATGGAGAACAGATTGTGATACTGCAATATTTTGCTCATGCCGCTGAACTTTTACTCCTTTGCAAACGAAAGCTGACTCCGAATTTTGAAGGTGGTTTAGTGTCGTGTCTTTCTCTCGTAATAAGTATCACGTCTTGCCTTAGCGATTCAACACTGATGGATACACTCCATGTAAGAAAAAATTTATTCAAGTAATCTTTAGTGATTACACATTTTTATAGTTGATTTACATTTTTTAATTTTATTTTTATAGGAAACTATCGTGAAATCTATTTTGCATCCTAGTATAGGAATTCTTTCGACGACAAGATTCACTTTTCCGAATGGAACTGTTGCTCGTGCGACGCTAGCTGAAAAATATTTGCAAACACTTTATATTTTGATGTTACGCTTGGGTGTGACTATGACAAAAACTCACTTGGCTGTTTCAATTCAGAGATTTTTCTTAACTTTTGATAAAGTTTTTTACGTCGTCAATAATACGGCGAAGTATATCAGTCAAATGTCAATTAATGATGATGATAGAAGGTAAATTTCTTTTTAATTTAATATTACTCGTATGAAAGTAAATAAAATTACTTGTATGTAAGTAAATAAAAATGTTACGCGCTCCGAAGAAATTTAAAAAAATTATGAATTATTTTCAGAAGTGATATTTTGCATCATGCCCAATCTACGTTGGCGGATTCTTTCTCTCCGCCGATTTTGGAAGGAGAAGAGGGTTTTGATCCACTAAGAAATAAAGTATGTTGACTGGAAATAGAATTAAATAAATCCGAATTTTTCCTTTGTTAATGAATTTTATTTTTAGGCATTAGAAGAATTGAAAAATGTCTTCACTCCAGATTTGGCGCACAAAGCTTACGTTCTATTTTATCGTTTCTTTGGGGATGGAGTTCTAGAACAAATACTCAAAAATAATCAACTAATTCGAATTCTTTGTCAAGATTACGAACAGACTGCAAGATTGACGTCGCCGGTTTCTGGTAAATATTTCTATTCTTTCCACGTGACACATCGAAATAGTTAAAGAATAATTAAAGAAAAATTTTTCCATTTTTGGAAGATGATGGAAAAGTTAAAAAAGAAAATTGAATTTATTAATTAATTAAAAAAAGAATATTTTTATTTTCTTTTCAAGAAGATACTTTAAACGACGTGTTTCTAATTGAGAATGAAGCAGCCGACAATCAAGAACTTTTCGAAAGAGAAACTGGTTTTGGAAATGTGGCAGTAATTGGAAATCGTATCGAAGTGCAGGTATTGGAAATTTTATGAAAATTTATATCTTGTATTTCTTTTCTCTTTTATTAAATTGGAAATAAAAATTCTTTTCAGAGAGATAATTTGTCACCTCCATCACAATCAATTTCCGAAGGGGGAAATTTAATTAGAGAATCAAGTTCCCTGTACCTTGGACGACAACTTCGGGGAAATTGGCTTGCTTATTGGGAACACGAAATTGGAAGACCCGATAAAGACACAACTTTAAATATAAAGCAAATTAAACTTCAGAGTTTCAATGGACACACGAGTAGTATTCGATCCGTTTACGTTTTGGACAATGAAAACAGTTTTATGAGTGGATCTAGAGATAAGACTGTTAAACTTTGGAGTTTAAGAAGTCAGGTAAATTATTTTTTCTTCAACATTTTCTTAATTATTAATTTTAGTATTATTTTTTCAAATTATGACAGTTTGTAAAAACAAAAATCACAAATGACAGTTTTTATTTTCTCTTTTTTAGGGAGATGGGAGTACAATATCCTCTTGCCAGTACACTTACACAGGACACAAAAAATCAATTTTAGGTTTAATATTTCTAGAGTCTTTGCGATACGCAATCAGTTGTGATGGGAATATTCACTGTTGGGATCCTTTTATGGGCTCGTTATTAGGATGCCCGGAAAGTCCGCGTCCTGCACCTGTTAATACTCTAGCGGCAAATCCTGCTCCTTCGACAACTGTCCTCGTAGCCACGACTGAAATTACTTTAAGAGTCATTGATTGTCGATCGTTTCAATATGTTAACGAAATGAAAGTAAGTTGACACTTTGGAAAGAAGTTCCGTTCTCTAGTTCCATTTTAATTTCGTAAAGAATGAAATGAAACTAAATTAGAGTAAATTATGCTAAGTTTAAAAAATAAATTGATAATTGATAATAAATGTATTTTTTTTCTTTTTCGAATAAAGGTGTCGATGAATCCAGCGGGTTTGATTCGATGCATCGCTGTTGCTCCAAGTGGACACTGGGTGGCTTTGGGCCAAGCTTCGGGTTACCTGACCATTTTGGACATTCGCACAGGGCACATAATTGCTTCCTGGAAGGGTCACGATTGTGAAGTATGTTATAGTCTTTTAATTCAGTTTATTTTAATTATGTTTATTTTTCTCCTAATTAAAACCTTCTGGTGTTTAATTTAAAACCGAAATCAGTTTTTATCGGATATTTTGCATCTACTGACGATTCAAACCAGTGTTTGGTTTTATATAGTAAAATCTTAATTCCTTTTGTGTATTTTAATTCCTAAAATTGCAAGCATAATTTTTTGCTTCTTAGATTTTTTTTTGGATCGTGTGCAAATCGAATATTACTTTATTTGCAACTAAAATTCTTAATGTATTGTCTGCTACTGCTAACTTTGGACTTCAAAATATTCAACAGGTTTTGCAACTTCAAGTTCTGAATGAAACAACATTAATCAGTTCTTCATTGGATCAAACAATTGCTGTATGGAGTGTAATTGACGGAAAGCTCAAATTCCATATGAAGTAAGAAAGAAACATTTATTAAAATTCAGGGGGTTGACACAAAAATTTAATTTTCTTTTTCCCTGATTTACAGACAAAAATTTTGACTTTTCCCCTGAAAATTACTATTAATTATTATTTTTCCATGGGAATTAAAATTCTTCAAAAGATTCAAATTCAAATCTTTTTGACATCCAACAACTTATAAGAATATTATTATAAAACTAAAATATTAATTTAAAACATGAAGAAATCGACCACTCCGAGTCGAGTAATTAATTTCTTCATGTTTTAAATTAATTTTAACTGAAATTCATTTTTTAAACAATTTCTATTAGAAAATTCTTCGAGAATTCAATTATTTCAATACAAAAATAAATAATTGTATTTTTCTTGAAATTAAATTCTCATAAAAGAATTTTATTAGCAAAAAATAAAAATAAATAAATAAAAAATTTTTTAATAATTGAATTCTTTCGACGAATTTTAATAAAATTTTTAATGAATAATTATATTTTTCGGAGAATTTTGATCAAAATTGTATTAAAAATAATTATTATGGTTTTTGCAATTATTTCTAACTTCTTAAAAATTCTATTCTTTTTAGTGTTTTTAACTAAAATTTTTCAATAAATCCGTTATTATTTTTAATAATTAATTAAATATATATTAAAAAATGTAACTAATTTCAGCAGAATGTGAATTATTATTATAGGAAGTTATTATATACATTGATTATAAACATTAATATAATTTAATTATTATTTTTTCAAAAATCTAAGTTCTTTAAAATTTCTAATTAAATTCATTAAAAATTGAAATACAGAATTTTCTTATAAATTCTAAAAATTAAATTTTTTCGTGTACTTTTAATAAAATAAAAATTCCTGACTTTTCCCTGATTTTCATGACCTGTGGCAACACTCACAATTGAACTACTTTAATATTATTATTAACCTTCGTATGTTTTTTCAGAGGCGTCACAGAACCGGTACACTGTCTGGACGTCTATGAACAGCAGCTGGTCACAGGAACAACAGCGAATCGTATCGGCGTTCACTCATCTATAGACACAAATGCCGCATACTCGTCTTCTAAATTAAGATCAGACGCCTTTAAAGGTATCATGACATCCTTGACTGTTCTACCTCTCAATAGATTATTACTTTTGGGTGCCGACAACGGCATTATTACTCTACTTTGCTAAAACCATTTTTCGCGACTCCTACTAGTGAAAATAGACGAAATTTTTTTTTCTTGCATAATTTTAGTCCCTACAGAATTAGGTTTTTAATAGAATAAGTGTTTATAAACATTAAGTTTTTTTTAGTGTTTATAAAATAATTGTATATATAAAACAACAAGTATATGAAAGTAGTAGGTAAAATTGTAAATATGAAAAATGAACCATGTGAAAGCAGAAAGAAATGTAAATTTTTTTCTCAGGATTTTACGAAAAAGACTTAAATTTTCAATATTGTAGATAATAAGAAATTAGTGTAGATCTTCAAATTTGGAGATTTTTTTACATGTACAGTTTACGAGAGTAAGAACCATGTCTGTTAATAATATTTAATAGGAAATATTTTTTAATAAAAACTATTTATTAAACAAAAAAAGAATGTATAAAATTTACCAAAAACCTTTTCTCCTTTGGTTCAAAAATTCAAAGAACCAAAATTTATCGCACATTTATATCCATTCTTGATTTTAAAACACAAATTACAATATCTGAAGATAATTTAAAAACTCCAACGTCAGCAAGTATTTCTTTTGTTTCGTTTTCTGTTCCATTTTTTAAAGCATCCATGAGCAATAATGCTGACCCGAGAAGCATATTTAATAGTGAGCAGCCTTCTCTCATTCTATAAATCAGTTGAAATGTTTTTTTTCCGAAAGAAATTTTCCAATTATAATTAATAGTAAAAAAAAACTCTTACCGTGGAAAATATGATTCTGGCTTGCTGGTGTAGAGACCAAATAGAGGAAACAAATTTCGTACAATATCGTATTGTAATTGTACAGCTCCTCCGGAATTAAATTTATTGACTAAAACCACTTCTTCGAAAATGTACTGAAAATAAAACAAAAAGAAGAAAATAAGATCTTTTAAAAATTCAAAATTTCAAAAGAAATTGTAAACAAACATTTTTGTTAACAAATTTTGTTAATTTAATTTCTTTGAGAAATTGTTATTTTCACGCTAAAAGAGCTAAAAGGAAAAAGTTAATTACCAAGTCAAGTTGTGATGCAAGATTTCGCCAAGCCTGGTTGAACAAAGGCAAAGCTAAGGCTTCATTGAGAGCGTGAAGACGAAGTGCTAATTCTTGAAACATTGAACAACCACTTGGAGTGACGGATAGGGAAAGAATTTCCTTTTCCGATTGCATTGCGAACCATCTGTAAAAAGTTCAAAATTGAAATTGGATTTTCTTTTTATTTTAATACTTTTTCTATTATCAGTAAAATTATTTATTTACTTATCAGTTCTGTAAGGTCTGCTCTTTGCTTTAACATCCAGAGCCACAGAATCACTAATCTCAGTGACCAATTTTTTTTCTAGTCTCTGAAGAAGAGCAATAGCATCGTCAAATACAGTTCCGTGCTCTTCCGTAACATCTTCGAAAATATTTTCACCAATGTCTGTGGCTATTTCCACAGCCTCGAGTTGCTTTTTGTAGAAATGAAGCTTTAAGAAATGCTGCAAAACATTTCATTTTTGAAAATAAAACACAAATTATTTTACGCTAATAGTTCAATTAATTTAGTTGATTAATTAATTTTCATTTTTTTAGTAAATGTTAATAGTTAATAGTTTTAGGAAATCAAGAAGATTATCTTACGACAGTAACGCCCCATTCGGAAAGAACAGTTTGCACGTAGTGCAAGGAATTTAAAATTCGTGGCATGAGTGACGCCAGTGGATCCTCATAATCCTCGTGCAACAATTGCAATAATCGCACTCTCCAATCATCAATTAATTCCAATTGTAATTCTAAAAATTGAGCTCTGGAATTGAACAAATTTTCAACTTGTAAAATTAATTTACTTGTTTCTAAACTAACTATTATTACGAATGTAAAAAAAAAGAATCATAAAAACCTATGACCCGGCTGTGGAAGATGATTGTATCGATCTGAAATTGTTGTGAGAAGATTCAAGAAAGCTTCTGCACATTCAGTTACTTTCAAATTATCAACATCGGGTCCTGGTAATTTTTCCCAAGCTGTAGGCGAACTCAGTATTGCATCCATTTTCTCAGTTGCATCTGTAAAATTATTTCATCTCAATTAAAGTGAATTTTTTCTTGATTTTCTTCTTTTCGTTGATTAACGTTGTGTACTTCGAGTCCATAACGTTAATCAGCGAAAAAGATTTTTTTACTAATTATTCTACTTGTTAAAAATATTTTTTTCCATCAATCGATGATGTTCCGAACTTGTCAGAAGTAAATTTGCTTTCTTGAAAATTAGAGACGAATTTAAATAAAAAAAAAATTGTTTTTATTTTTTGTTGCGGACTTGTCTCGTTAAAAAAAGAAAATAGTAGACAAAACGTACATTTCTTTTCCATGTTGATCCATTTGACGAAAATTTGCGCTTGTGTGAGAACAGATAAAGTAGCCGGCTGTGATTCGGGATAGAAGAATGATTCCCTCAATTCTCTCTCAAAGCCAAGAGCTTCATCAACAGTGTGAGCAAATGAAGAATCATCGTATTGAACAACCGGAAGTTCCGAGTGTAATTTTTCAACGGCCATTTGTACAAGAGCTCTCATAAATTCATCCTGTAAATGTTAGAGTTATAATAAAAAAATTACAATTTAAAAATTTTGATTAAAAAAACTCCAATCACAAATTTGTGAATTCCGTGAAAGTTTCTAAATTTTCTCGAAATTATTAACAAATTTGTCGATCATAGTTTCGATTTTAATTTTTTCAATTCCAATTGAAAAAATTGAGATTAATTTTCAATTTCGAATTTAATTTTAGTAAGAAATTTAAAAATTCCTACTTTGACATTAATGTGATCATAACCAGCGGATCGAGCGATCGGTTGGACGTTTCTCGCCACCCAATCGGAATGACCTTTAATCCAAGTGAGAACTTGAGTAAAAAACCATTCGGGTTTATCCCTTCGATTCGTTTGTTTCGTCCCCGTGAAGTGAAATATAAATCTTTGCCTTAGTGGTCGCACTAAGAAAACTATTGGCAGAGAAATTGGTGCGAAATCTGTTAGCAATGCTGATGTCACTGTCGGCTTTTCAGAATCATCTCTAAACTCATTGGTCAAGGATAATTCAATTTACATAATATTAAAAAATTAGTTTAAAAAAAGTGCTAATTTCTCAGTTTCTCTAACATAGTTAGTATTAGTTAGAGAATTGGTAATTGACACCAAAAAAAGGATACGGTAACTGTAGATGAAACAAATATTCAGTAAGAGTTTTAAATTTTGCCATTGCCTCAGCTGATGAAGTGCTCGAAACACTTAAGTTTGTTCCACAAAAAGGCCATTTTATTGCCTTCAAAACCTCGCTGTATTCTCTGTAACAAATTAGATAATAACATTAATTTTAACAATTAATTAAAAATTAACTTAATTTTAACAATTAATTAAAAATAAAATTAATTATATAAATTCAAATAAATTCTAACAAATTAGATAAGAACAATAACTCTAACAATTAATTTACTTTACAATAAATTTTTAATCCTATTTTTGGTTTACTCACTTGGACAATTTTTCTTTGATGTTATTGTGCCAATAATGTAAAATCTCTCGAATGTGATTTGAAAGTTGTTTACAAGGAGACGATTTCCATTCAAGAAATTTGTGTGTCAGAAGAGCATAGGGTTCAATAGTTGCTTCATCGACTCCAAAAAACAATGATACTTCTATTTGACCACTGAGAAATGAAAATTAAATTCAAATAAAATTACAAGAAAATATTAAATTATTAAAAATTAAAGTAATCTGAAATTCTGGAAAAAGAACTATTTTTTACCTAATTTCCTGAACACTTTGCAAGGTATTTAAATAGAATAGAGATTTTTCGAGTTCATTAATTTTGTTGAGAAGTGATTCGTACTCGAGCATTTTGTCATCTTTCTTTAAAGATTCTTGAATTTCCTTTTGTAAGAGTCGACAGGAACTTTTTAATTCGTAAATTCTGTTTGTCATATCATTTACATCAGCTATTGACTTTTCTACCAACAATGGGATTTTCGCCGATGCCAATGATAACTGCAATAAATTCCAATATTAATTGTAATTATTTACTAAATAAAATACTAATAAATACTATTAATTTTGATTTACTAATTAAAATTAAAATATTAATTAGAATTATTGTTTACATTATTAAATAGAATTTAAACATTAAATAAAATTTACTTATATTGTAAATTAAATTTATTTACACTGCAAATTAAATCTATGTTATAAATAAATTTACATTTTAATTTAAAATCACTTACTGATTCTTCAAGAACATTTTTCTCTGATTCTAATTCCTCATGAAATTTGTGGAGATTTTCAAGATTTTTCAAATCCGAACCTAATTTTTCATTAAATCTTTTTATTACTCTTGCCTCGATATCCATTTATTGAAATTAAATCGCATAGTCATAAATTAATCACCGTATTTACAATAATGTGATTATTTTTTCTGAAAACAAATACGTGTCACAATTTTTGTTGACAGGGTTGACAGTTTGACTCCTCTTTGACACTTCTATAGGCTCAATAACATAGAGTGAAAATCGTAAAAATAGTGTAGAAAAATTGGTTTAAATTTGATAATTTATAATTTTCCAGTTATTAGTCTATTCAAAATCATTTTATGGTTTATGGCAATTGTTTTAGAGCATAAATAATTAAAATATAACGAATAAAGTGAATTTTAATGCTGAAAATAAAAATACCTAACCTCAAAATTTCATTGCGCATCTTTCTGCGCATTAAGACGTGTTTTCAATTGGCGTCAAATTTAAATGTTGATTGAAATTAATTGATAAAAGTATTTGAGTGTAACAGGTGATTTATAGAGAAACAATTTTTGGAAATAGATTCTAATTACGTAATTGTATAATTAGAAAAATAGAACTTAATGTTTTGTGCGTTTTGTGTATAAGTTTGTCTTGGAGTTTCCATAACCTCAAAATTTAAAGTACAAAAAGAAGGCAAAATTAATTTTCTCGAAAAGTGTAAAAAATTTATATATAAAAAGAAGAGTTTGGATAATAATTTAAATGTCGCGCTTGAAGGGATGATAAAAGAGCGATGAAAACGCATCAACTTTACACCTGCGCACCGCCATGTAAACAACTTTCTCTGTGCGAATCAAGCTTTAACGAAACAACGGAACACCTTGCTGTCATGGCTGACTCACATTCGAGGGACTCATTGTAGCAAGTGTACGATAACAAAAACCTGAGTCAATAGTTGTGTAAATTTGAGAATTCACCTGTGGGGATGTGGTCAAGTGAATCGAGTTGAACTCTAAATGTGTGTCTGCGACAATTTGTTATAAAATAGTGTTTATCGCGAGTGTTTAAAATTCATTCGTGGAACGATGAACGGGTTAAGTTTGAGTGAACTATGTTGCCTATTTTGCTGTCCGCCCTGCCCTTCCAGAATTGCCGCCAAATTAGCATTTTTACCACCTGAACCGACCTATAGTTTTATCGAGGACGAGGGCTCAAAGTACACAATTTCCCTATCCGATAGAGCAGAATGGCAATACTCGGAAAGAGAAAAGGAATCCATGGAGGGTTTCTACGCGAGGACGTCCCGTGGAAACCGCATTGCTTGTCTCTTTGTTCGATGCTCAGCAACAGCAAGATTTACCATTCTTTTTTCTCATGGTAATGCCATCGATTTGGGTCAGATGTCCAGCTTTTATCTTGGTCTTGGTTCCAGGATTAATTGCAATATATTTAGCTACGACTACTCGGGGTACGGTGTCTCGGGTGGTAAACCTTCGGAGAAAAATTTGTACGCCGATATTGATGCTGCTTGGCATGCACTTCGAACACGATATGGAATCAGTCCGGAGAATATTATTCTTTATGGACAAAGTATTGGTACAGTGCCCACAATTGACCTTGCATCCAGGTACGAAGTCGGTGCTGTTGTTCTTCATTCACCTCTGATGTCGGGTATGCGAGTTGCGTTTCCCAATACAAAGAGGACTTGGTTTTTCGATGCCTTTCCTAGGTCAGTCGATAATATTTTTTTACACCTTATCAGAAACATTTCTTTTCAGATGACTCATTTCTTTTTGTTATTTTCTCATCAACAGAAGCTACTTAAATTTTTTTATCTTGCTTTTAATTCCACGAATATTGTCTCACTGAGATTAAGTTTCTTAAGCGTTTCAAGCATTCAGATTTTATTCAATGTTCTAAATTTTAATTATTAATCCATCGAAAGAATTTTCTTAAATGTCCAGAATTCCTAAAATAAATCCCAAAATTTATTTGTGAATGAAGAAATTTTTTTGATTTCTATTGTTTTAAAATTTAAACTGTTTGGTAAATTGTTTGTGGAAGTATTCTAAAAATTTTCTCTTCAAGTGTACGGAATGTCTTATCTGTTCTACATGTACAATTTAAAAGCAAAGTATGTCAACAGTTGCTCCACACTGTAATTCATGTGGACAGTTATAAAAGTGCAATATAAACAGCACATATTTTATGAAATGAAAATTTCTCAAATTAATAGTTGACAAGAAAGTTTTTTCTTTAAGTATTTAAACATCCGTTAAAAAAAAAATTATAGTTTCTATATAGAAGAGTCAGTTGCCTAAGAGAAACCCGTTAGAGCAAAAGACATTAATGTTCATAATTAACTTATTCTATTGTCTTGGACTTTAAAATATAATTCTTAATTAAAATAGACTATTCAATTTTCATTTTAAAATGCAAGCTCACTGACATTATATAAATCAATACTCGTGCAATATTTTCAATTATTACAGGTCAAATTAAAATAGAAGGTTGTAGTACTCAAGTTTAATTAATAATGTAAAAGTAAAATCAATAAGGGGTGAATCTTATTAATAAGAAATTAAGAAGCTATTTGATTTTTTAAAATAAAATAATAAAAAAAACGAAGATCTTATTCGTTTCTACGCCTATGTTTCGGTGCTAAAGAAACCTTTAAATTGCCTTAGGAAATAAGCTTTTTTAATCAAATTTAAGATAAACGTCACTCTTCAGAAAGCTTATATCTTTTTCATCATCAATATTATTATTATTATTATATAAACTTAAATATAAAATTTTCTTTTTGATTAAATTTTCTGTTTCATTGACCTTTACCTTGAAAAATTTGTCTCTTATGAATAAAAACAATTGAAAATAATGCTAATGATGTGCTGCTTTATAATTACAGTATAGACAAAGTGCCGAAGGTGACATCACCTGTTCTTGTTATTCATGGAACTCAAGATGAAGTGATAAATTTCAGCCATGGTCAGGAAATATACGAAAGGTGTCCGAGAGCCGTGGAACCCCTGTGGGTTGAGGTAATTGCAATAATGTTTGTTTATTTTTTGAGGAACTGCCCAAAAACGGAAAAAAGTCTTATTTTCGTATTTTTTTTTATGAAGAAGATAAAATTTAATTTCTTTTCAGTGGAGGCGTAAAGAATTTTCAACATTTTAAACGTTTTAAACAAAAATTGTATTTGAATTCAAATTTTCTGTCAAATTAGAGAAACACTGTCACTTTCGGTAACATAACCTAAAATTTAGGAAACATTTAATTGTTTCTTTATTTTATTTTTAATTTCTTGTAATTTTGAACGTTTTGAATAATTAAAAGTTGCATTTGAATAAAAATTTACAACTTTCTGTCAATTTTCAGCAACATAACCTGAAATTTAAGAAACATTTATTATTTCTTGTTTTATTTTTCTTTTCTTGTAATTTTAAACAATTAAAAGTTGAATTTGAATAAAAATCTTCAACTTTCTGTCAAAATAACAACACTTTCAGTAAAGTAACCTAAAATTGAAGAAATATTTATTGTTTCTTTTTTTATTTTTCTTATCTTTGTAATTTTAAACAATTAAAAGTTGCATTTGAATAAAAATGATAAAAATTTTCAATTTTCTGTCAATAACAACAATTTCGGTAAAATAACCTAAAATTTAAGAAACATTAATTCTTTCTTTTTTATTTTTCTTTTCTTGTAATTTGAACAATTAAAAGTTGCAATTGAATAAAAATGTTCAACTTTCTGTCAAATAATACACTGTAAAAAAAATTTTCTATAGATTCACAGTTTTGGTTTGTAATTTTACAAAAACCTAAAATTTAAGAAACATTTTGTCTTTTTTATTTTTCTTTCCTTGTAATTTGTATTCCAGTGAAACTTTTGTTTAAAATATCAAAAACTAAATTGAAAATTCTTTACCCTTCGATAAAAATGAATTTAGAATTCTTTTAAACTCCTTAAATTAAAATTCATGAAATTTTTTATAAATTATGAATTATTTAAAATACGAAATTGACATCGGAGCCATTGGAGTAACTTTGACTTAAATTCTTTCTAAATATTTGTTTGTTTAATATTGACAAAGAAATTTAATTACACAGATTTAATAATAAAATGAAGTGTAAGAATAGGTGAGAAAAGTTAATTAAAAATAGTTTGTTTTATTATCTTGAAACAATATATCTAGGGTAGTGTATTATTAGGCCAACATACAACTGTTTCAATCTAAGAATACAAGAAGGGCTTTGTTTAAACATTGATTTCTAATAAATGCAATTCAATATGTTCCACATTTGCAACAATATTCAACAATATTTTTTCACATAATTATAATATTTCCCATTGAATTAAAAATTACAAGTTGTCAAAATTATACAAGTTGTTTAAAAATATATTTCAGCAGTTTCGTAATTTTTTTTTATTCAGTAAATTTGCTTTCATAAGGAAAATTCTTTTTATTAAAATCTCAATTATAATTTCAGTGGGAATACAATGAAAACAATGCAACACTTGTTGCTTTCTCTTGCGTAACCAAATGGAACCTCATGCTTTTTTAAATTGAAAAAAGATTTTATTTTTGTATAGAGAGAGAGAGTAGACCTTCGATTTTGAGCATTTCGCAGAAATTATTTTCTTTTTGCAATGTTTTTGCTAATTTTAATAATAGAATATTTGGTTTACTTTTTGTTTTAGAGAGAAGATAATTAAATTTTATTTCTTCTCTCTTCCGGTCAGTGGTCTCTTGGAGAAAAAATATTCAAAGCGTGTTTTAATAATGAACTGGTATCACTTTTCATGATTGCTGTATCGTGGCGTTCTTTATGAAAATTAATTGATAGTAATTTGTGGTGGAGAATTTTTATTAGTATACTTATTTTGAAGTTTTGAATATTTAATTAATTTTTAAAGATACCAAAATACGTGAACGTATTTTGGTATCTTTAAAAATTAATTAAATATTCAGAACTTCAAAATAAGTATACTAATATTCAGTTCACAATGTTTATTCGATTGAAGGAAAAAATATTTGTTGCGCGGAAAAAACTATTTTACAAATTTTTAATTTTTGATTTCTTGATGAAGTGTTTACGAGAATTCGAAAAAAGAGAGGCAAAATTAAATTATTAAATTCCCAAATAGGAAAAAATACTAGTGAATAAATAATTAATAATTGATTGAATTTTGCAGGGTGCTGGACATAATGACGTTGAATTGTACAATCAGTATTTGGAGCGTTTGAAACAATTTGTGAGTGTGGAATTGGTGAACTGACGTCGACTCAGCCTCTCCCAGAGTCAGGGAGGGCAGGGAGTTGGTCTCACGCACGTCAATAGTCAGGTACAATCTCTTTCAAATAACTCAAATACCATCAGCTCTATCTCGACCAGCTCGCCTACGGAAAAGCTCGTATAGCAATCACCCTCCGCAGGGGAGATCGCAATTCTCCCCTGTGATGGCGGTGACCCCTCACCAATTTCAAATGACGAGGTAATATTTTTTCCTGATAAACAAGAGAAACCGAAACGAGAGAAACGAGAGACTGTTAAAGCAGTTAAAAAGGATTTTCGCTTCCGTCATCAAAAAGAATCGGAATTAAAAGATCTCAAAGCAACTTTCAATGCCAAGTCAGATTGTTTGGATACAAAATGGGAGAAATTGAATTCTGATGATATTCGAAAGAATGACAACAAAGCGCCTTTAAAGACAATTTCCCATCGTAAATTAAATCGTCGTAAGAAACAACAACGTGAGAATACAAAATTTCCAGCTCAAAATTCAACTGAAAGAAATAAAGAAAAGTCTGCGAATTCATCAAGTTCAGAAGCTTCAAACGATGTAAATATTGATTCTGACTCGAAAGTTTCACGGTATAAACGCATTAAAACATCTCTTACAACTCATATTCATTACAATTCCAGGTTCTTGAGGAGGCTGCTAGTAAGGAAGGGATAATGCGTTACGTCGCCAATGAATTTGATCTACAAACCAACAACTGTAACAATTTATCAAAATCAAGGAAATATCTCTGGTTCAGTAAAAATACGAAAGATCATATTTTAAAAAGTCAGGAAGAGGAGAAAAGTAAGTCTGTGAAATCGTTGAAAGTCAAGAAGACATGCAGTCCCCATAAGAAACTCAGCCGATCATCACTGACAATAGAATCCGACAAGATAACCATAAATCTCTCAAAATACTCTCCCTGCGCCAGTAGATTGGCAGCGAGCTCAAAGATACTCTCCAACGAGAGTGTATCAAACTCGGAGAGTCCTTTGCATTTGCCCCACTCGAGAAGTCCTTCTCACGTCAATGTTCAACCAAACTCATTGCCCATGGATAAAATGTCAATTCAAGCCAGCTTATCTCTGAATATTCATCAGTTTGAAAAAACCCGCTCCAATTCGCGCAGCAGAAGTGTCGGCGACAGTTGTGTCACATCGCCAACCAGCGAGGGCACAACTCTCAGCTATTCTCCAACAGTCACTGAAATCCTGTCCTTGGAAGAAGTTATACCTCAGATTTTCGTCACGGAAGAATCGTCAAGTTACCTAGATATTAAAAGAAAATCAGACAACAGTCTCTCGGAGAAGGCACGAAAGGCCACTTTAGAAACTAAATGTTAGTCCGGTAGTATCGATGATCGGAAAATTTTCTTCCATGTTTAAATAATATAACAAGAGAGTAAAAAATAGAGAGAGAGCTATCGGGTGATGTAGTGCCACTGAGACTAAACATACCACATTTATAAGATTTATTATTGATATTTGTACGAAGTAAAGATTAAGTGTAGAATTTTTGAATGCTGCGGAAACGTTGTTGCGAAAAAGAAAAAAAAATATGTTGAGTATTAGTATATGAAATTAGACAATCAATTGACTCGCGGGTAATGAGACCTTTTTGATGATATGTCAAAAAATTATCATGCAAGTCTCTCGCTGCGATAATTCATTCTATACGATGATTAAAAATTAAAAGTGCCAAAGAAAAGAGATTACCGCTAAGCGACTGTTTGTTTTCCCTTTTTCTGCACACATGAACATGACCTCTTTTTTTTATTTTTGTTTCATCAATCACACACCTTTTTGCCAAATGCTTTCTCTTCTTATACACTTTGTTTCAGCCCCCAAAAAGTCTCAATTACGAAAGTCGATTGATTTCTACTATAGTAGTTTATAGGTTTTTATCTTGTGATGATTGCTCTTTATTGTTAAAACTTTAAATGCGTATGTTGAATGAATCTGAAGTTCGCAATCTTTTTATAGACGAAAAAGTAGAAATGAATAAAAATTCTTTTAGAAAAAAATTTCTAATCTCTAATTTTGTTAAGTTTTTGAAAAATTAATTCTTTGCTCTAAATTTGATTTTTGTACAAAATGTTCATTTTTAATTAGTGACTGACTTTTTGCTTTTTAATTGGTAAATGTAACTAATAAATTAAAATATTTATTAATTACTGTTTACTAATATAATTTACTGGTAAATTAATTTTACAAAAAAATAGTAGAAAATACTATTTATTAGTAAAATTTATTATTAATAAATAAATTAGTAGAAAATATGATTTATTAGTAAACTAAATTCAAAAGCAAAAAGAATTAGTAAACATTTTTACAAATAAAAATTTAGAGAGAAGAGAAAAAGTACACGTTTTCGTTTATAAAAAAGTTGCGAGATTCAATTTTATATTTTGGAAAAAAATTTTGTAATATTGGCTCACGTGTCAGGAGTATTTTCATGAGGCTTCAAAGAGAACTTGAGATAGTTTACCGAACACGATTTTTTATTTGAAATTGAAAATTATTCCTAAAGTAATTATTTGTTAAGATTTTTTTACTTGTTATTTTATTTTACTTAATTTTACCTTTATTTTTCTCTTATTTTTATTTTCTTTTTTTAAATCATATATTTTAGTGTTTTTCATTTTCAATTTTCTCGACATTAATTTTTGAACAAAGATTGTAGTGGATAAACACGTATCTTGAGGAATCAGCCTCAATTTTTTTATCCAGACTCATTTTTAGTAGGGAAATACAATGTTTAATAAATTTTAAGTCCTAGTATTGTAAAACATATTATAATGACTAGAATTTCTGATAAAATTAAGTGCATCGGTAAAGACAAAACACAAATGAACATTTCCTTCCACTGGAATGCTTTTTCTACAATAAAAAATAAAAAAGTAAAGTAAAAATATAAAAGTGATAGTAAACGGATTCCATCGTGAAACTTATTCTATACTCCATGTGCACAATTCTTTTGTTAAACAGATTAAATTAATAATTAAAATATGATGGCTATAGAGAATACTGAATCTCTTCCAATTTAATATGGTATATGTAAAAAAAAAAAGAAATGGAATATTGTAAACTTTGCTGAAAAACATTTAAAGAGACACCGAATTTGGTGCGACGATGTTTGTGTCTTAATTATTGGTGTGTGAAAGAGAATTACGAAAGCACTCGTTAGAGACAATATACTGCCAAACTTTTGTCTATTGGAAAAACTTCTGCAGAAAATTAATTGTCTGAAGGAGCCTTGACCATACACTGTTTCTTATTAGTATTTTTGTATGTGTACATATATGTAACGAACAATTTTTTTTTGATCCTAAAGTTCTGAACGTTCAATTGAACGAAAATTTCTCCTTCTAATTTTTTTATTGTCAATAATTCAAAAAGAAATTAATTAAACACGTATAAAAAAGAAATCAATTATAAAATTCGTTTCTAATTTTTATAACAATTAATTTATAGAAATGTTTATTTACTTGAACGTTCAGAACTTGTCGATCATCATTTTTTCGTATTCCGAGCCAGTGGAACAAGTAAAAAAATGATTCATGTATCAAAAATCATTTACGACTTTTTTTACATTAGGAAGAAAATTTCAACTCGTTTTCAAATTTTTAATCTTTAATACTGCAAGTAAAACTTCGTTGATTCGACGACGAAACGAATTTTCAGTTGCGAAAAATATATTAGAAAAGTCGAAGAATTCGGAGCAACAACCAAAGTTTGTAGAAATTTGTTTCAAACTGTAAAATCTGAATAAAAAGAATTTTTCGAAAAAATTGTGACGAAAATTCTTGATCTAATTTTTAAACTAACCAAAATGGTAAAATTTTACAGTAACTAACTAATTAAATAATAATAAATAAGAATTTTGAAAAAGGAAAAAAATGTCAAACATTTTTTGTAAAAACAAATGTCACGTGGGTGAAGTTCATAACGTTTGTAATCGAACGATTTAAACAAAAAAATATTCGTTACGCAGAATTCTCTGTTACAAATTTTTACTTCTTGAATCGTCGATGAAAATATATTATCAAACAAAATTTTTTGTAACGATTGAAAAAAATATTTGTTACGCAGTAAACAAATTTTTATTTTTTTAATCCTCGACGAAAAAATATTGTCAAATAAAAGTTTCTCGAAACGATTAAAAGAAAAACAATTACGGAAAAATCAAAATGCTACAATAAATTTTTATAATTAGATGAAATTTTTTTTGTGGATTCTTAATATATTAATTTAAATAATTTGTAGGCCAGTTTTTCAAAAAAAACTGGCCTACAAATTATTTAAATTAATAAATTTTTATTTTTTGAATCGTCGATGAAGAAATATTGTTAAACAAAAGCTTTTTGAAACGAATGAAAAAAAAATATTTGTTACACAGAATACTTTGTTAAAAATTTTTACTTCTTGAATCGTCGATGAAAAAATATTGTAAAATAAAATTTTTCGAAACAATTGAAAAAAAATATTTGTTACGCAGTAAACAAATTTTTAGAATGAATTTTAATTACTTGAATCGTCGATGAAAAAATATTGTTAAAAAACAGTTTTGCGAAAGGATTGAAAGAAAAGAATATTTGTTACGCGAAAATTAAATTTGTTCCAATAAATTTTTATTTTTTGAATCTTCGATAAAAAAATATGAAAAAAAGCTTATTCGCGAAAAATTCGAATAGAAAAATATTTTTTCTATCAGATCGTTTATAATGAACTTCACCAACGACAAAATATAACACACAAAAGCTTTTGTTAAATTCTTACGTTATTTTTTCTTTTTTTTTAAATTTTAGAAAAAATTTTTCTTTTGAAAAAAATTGGAAACTGTTAAAAATCGTTGCTTCGAAGAATTGAAAATGTCTAGAAAATTTTACATCACGTGTCACCTGCTCTTAATTACAATCGATTTTTAAAAAGAACTGTCCGATTGAATATAAATCTAAGAAAAAAAAAATTTCCATTGGTTCGCGAAAAAAAAGAAAATGAAACAGAAATTCTCGACACGATGTGTATCGACGTTAATTTAACTCTGCCTCTTAAAAAAAACAGTGGAATTTGCATAAAAATGTGTTATCACTCTGAATCTTTTTCATAAACATATAAATATATAGCGAAAGGGATGCTCAATTTTTGAGGGGGCGACTTGACGGTGCGCGTTGGTATTTATATTGTATGTAAATAAAAATAATAGATTTTAGCATCGATAAGAAAAACCCTAAAAATCTAAAGGAAATCGGAGCGTTCAATCGTTCGATGTACTTATCAGTCGAGTTTTGTGAAGACGTTCCCGAATCATCATACGATTCGAACGAGAAAAAACAATGATAGGATATAATTTGTAAAAAAAAAAAAAATTAATAAATCAGAAACTCAATAAATGACACACTATATACTTTAGTATGTAAGGGTTTATAGATAAAAAAAAGAAACCAATTCTGTCAAAAAATGACACACATTTTGCGAAGAGAAATATGATAATACAAAAATTATATAGACAAAAAAAAAACTCTAATCGTACCTAAAAGCGGTAATTTAGTATTTTATACTTCCACCACCTTTCAAATAAGCATTATGTATAAAAAAAATTACTTTAATCGTCTCGTCTTATGTATTAATTACGATGCAAATTCTACGTATAAATGCATTATGCGTAGAAAACTCGTAATACTCGTCGCTGCGTTATATTTTACATTGTCGTTAATAATACATTATACAGCACCGCTTTTCGTCTTCTAACTTGATCTTATACCCAGTTTTAATAGACTCATCATTCAAAATCTCTTAAATAGAAATTTTACCTAGAAATATCGTTTTAACCCTTTTGTTAATTTTTATTACTAAATTTGTTACAAACATAATTCATTTTAAATCATTATTATAACAACACTTAAGAAACATTCCTGGTGTTTTTGTAAATTTTGTGTCTTTTTTTATATTTACAATAATTTGTCAACAGAGTATTTTAGTTCTTTTTTTTTTTTATTCTTCGAGGGAAAGGAAGAAATTATTTTATGATCTTGTTTCTTTTTTTTCCCCTGATGGAATGAGAGTTTCTTTAACAATTGAAAAAAGAAATTATATAATTTTAAAAGTAAATTAAAACACGAATTAATTAGTTGAAACTTTTACAGTCTATAAATGATGATCCAGTGCAAAAAGTGAATAATGAATTCTGCAAAGTTAGAATGCGATATAAGCAAAACTGAAAAAAGTTTATCTATTTCATGCAAATCCAAGTCCTTCCGCATCTCTACTCTGTAAAGAACAGTTGTGCAATAAACAATAAATCATTTGTAAAATGATATCTGAGAATATATTTTTTTTCTCCATATTTGAATCACATGTATTTTCCCATATGGAAAAAATAAGTAATGGGGATTTTTTGAAACGAAATTTATTTGATTCAAATAAATGATTTCACTTGTGTATTGTTAAATAAATATTTACTTTAATAATTTTTATTAAAATGAAATAAATTGTATTTGAATGGTAATAAATATTATTAATTATTATTTCAGTATTCGGGAATTTTATGAAAAGTACTGTAAAAATGTCAAAATTCTAAAATTGCTATAAAAATTCTGGTTTTTCAATCAATTATTATTTTTAATAATTTTGATAAAATTTGTTTACAAGAAGTCGATTATTTTCAATTTTAATAAAATTTCTCGAAAGAGTACAATTATTTTCAAAATTTTTAATAAAGTTTTTTTTACCAAAATTCAATTATTTTTCTGAATAATAAAATTCTTCCCAGGAATACAATTATTTTTAATACAATTTTAATAAAATTTATCGAAAGAATTCAATTTTTTTTATAAATAATAAAAATCGTTGCAAGAATTTAATTATTTTCTATAATTTTAATTCAGTTCTTTACAAGATTTTAATTATTTTCATAAACAAAAGAATTTAAAGCGAAAATTCAATTATTTTTAATTCAATTAAATTTTTCAAATAAATATAATTATTTTTAGATATTTTAAAAAAATTCTTCGAAACAATTCAATTAAAAAAAAATCATGCAATTCTTTTAAA